ATAATATAATATAATATAATATAATATAATATAATATAGTAAAAAATACAAAAAAATATAATATATTTAGAGGTCTAATTACTTACGCTAGGTAGTTATTTAGATACTATTTAGGATACTATTAGTGTGGGATTTTCCCCTTAAAAACTAGATATAAATTATTTAAGGGACTTAGTATATACGTATAATACATTTACTACTTAGGTATAACTCTACTCCGTGTATAACTTTTAAGGGTGCAGCGAAGTCGCAACTCGAAAAAGTGGGGGCGTGGCACGGGCTTGGAAGTGACAAACGGTAGCCCCATATGTATGCCTAAGGCTAATAAGCCCTTTAACTATAGCCGCCATCTTAAAAAGAACATCTTCTAACGTTTTCGGATAAGTTAACTGTCATTTGCATTTGCATGCCCTTGAATTAAGATTACAAAGCCCAAACGCAATCATACCGTCAACCGGGAACTAGACCGGCGATAAGGTTCGCAAGACTTTTCTAGAGTTCTTCTAAGAGAGGGGCTATAAGATAGGTATGCATGCCAAAGAGTAAGAGGTTAACGCTATGCACAATTAAACGATTACTATCCCTCCGAATTCCGATGATAAGCCCTTATAATCTTAAAGGACCGCGTTTTCTCTTCCTTGGCCTTAAACTTATGCTAACATTCATATTTATACAGTACCATTCTCTTTAATTGTCCCTTTTAATGACCCCACCCTTCACTTTACGAACGCGGGGATAAACCAATTCAAGCCGATTTTTCTTGGGACGATTACTAGTTCGAATGATTAGTCCAAGTTAAAGCGCGCTGCTAACTCGTAAAAGGTATATTAGCAGTGACGTGAGTATATTTAAGAATGGTGGCTGATAGTTGGGCAGTGCATCCGTGTAGGTGGCAAACATAATGTGAGGAACTACTTCCGCGTGGCATGATTGAGTTTGGATCCGCTTACGAGAGATATCTAGGATCTTAACGATGTCGGCAAAGATGGCTATTACCATGTGCGTGGTATCCATTATTCTCCGAGGTGGAGGATAGCCACTAACTGATCTGCAGACCTTCTTCGAGATGTTGGGCAACTGGTCCTTTAGCGACTACTTCAAGAAAGAAGCTATCGAGTGATCGTGGGAACTTTTAACCGAGGTCTACAAGCTAGATCTAACTAGACTGTATGTCACATATTTTGAAGGTAATATTAAGCTGGGCCTTGAACCCGACGAGGAAGCCAAGCAACTGTGGCTCTTAGTTGGTGTGCTAGAAGATCATATCCTCCCAGGTAATATGAAGGATAACTTCTGGGAAATGGGTGACGAGGGTCCGTGTGGCCCTTGTAGTGAAATTCACTACGATAAGGTTGGCGGCGGCCGAAATGCTGCGCACTTGGTTAACAAGGACGATTAGCTGTCGTTGAGATGTGGAACATCGTCTTCATGCAATTTGACTGATAGAAGGACCAGTCACTTAAGCCTCTACCATCAAAACATATCAATACTGGCATGGGTTTCGAACGTTTAGTATCTGCTCTGTAAAACAAGATGTCCAACTATGCGACCGATATCTTTACTCCCTTGTTCGCCAAGATCCAGGAAGTCACTGGTGTAAGAGAGTATACGGACGAGTACGGAAATTAAGACATTAATGGCATTAGCACCGCATATCGTGTTATTGCTAACCACCTCCGACTTCTGACCTTCGCTATTTCGGATGGCGCCTTGCCCAATAACGAGGGCCGCGGCTATGTTGTGCGTCGGGTTCTACGGCGAGGGTCACGATATGCCCGAAAATATCTTAATGCGGAGGTTGGGTGCTTCTTCTTGAAACTCCTGCCCACGCTAGTCGAGCAGATGGGGGAATAGTTCCCAGATTTGGTGAAGAAGCAAAAAGATATTAAGGACGTTCTGGACGAAGAAGAGCAGGCTTTTACCAAGACGCTTAGCCGCGGAGAAAGGCAATTCGAAAAGTATTCAGCTCAGGCATCCGCCACTGGATCCAAGAAACTGTCTGGCGCCAATGTTTGGAGGCTGTCCGATACGTACGGTTTCCCAGAAGATTTGACAAAGCTGATGGCTGAAGAAAGAGGACTGAGCATCGATGAGAACGAGGTGGCAGACGCGCGACAAAAGGCTCGACAGGATAGCATGGTGATCAAGAATTCCGTACAAACCTTCGCAAAGCTGAATATTCACCAACTCGCCAAGCTCAAGGAAACGCTACAATTGCCTCCCTCTGATGACGAATCAAAATTCTCCAAGGGTAATATAACGGCTCGAGTCCAACTGATATTCACGGGCAGCGAGTTCCTAGAATCAACGAAAGGCATCCCGCCGAATGAGCCTTTCGGACTCCTTCTAGACAGAACCAACTTTTATGCCGAACAAGGTGGTCAAGTCACTGATACTGGCCGAATCATCATTGGCGTTGACGTTGCCGAATTCAAGGTTCTCGATGTGCAACAACTTGGAGGATACATTGTCCACAACGGATATCTTGAGTATGGTGAACTCAAAGCCGGTGATGAAGTTGTCAGCGAGTATGATGAGCTTCGAAGACAGCTGATTCGAAACAACCATACCGGGACACACATCCTGAACCACTCCATAAGAGAAGTCCTTGGCGACATTGACCAGCACGGCTCGCTTGTCGATCAGGATAGGCTGCGCTTCGACTTCTCGCACAAAGCTACAATTACTATCTCCGACCTGAAGGTCATTGAGGACATGTCAAATGCTTATATTCGACGGGATTGCAAGGTCTATGCCAAGGTTGTGGAGCTCGAGCTCGCACTGAGGATCAATGGTATTCGTGCTGTTTTCGGTGAGAAGTACATCAATCCTGTTCGCGTCGTATCCGTCGGTATCGATGTGGACAAGATCCTGGAAAAGCCTGAAAATCCACAATGGCGTAATTTCAGCATTGAACTTTGTGGCGGAACACACGTCGCCAAAACTGGTTCTATCAAGGAAATGGTGATCGTTGAGGAGAACGGTATCGCCAGTGGCATTCGACGTGTCGTCGCCTACACTGGTAATGCCGCTTACGCTGCTCAACGCGATGCTGCAGAATTCGCAAAGCGAATTGATGAAATTGATGCCCTGCCGTTCGGCGCAGAGAAGGAGGCGGCCGTTAAGGCTGCTGCCCGTGATCGCGAGAATCTTATTATCTCCAAGGTTACTGCCGAAGGTCTCGAGGCTAAATTCACTAAAGTTGTCAAGAGCGTCACCGATGAACAAAAGAAGCGCCAGAAGGCTGAAAGTAAAGCTGCATTCGATGCAGTTACCGGGCACTTTGCCAAGGTCGAGAACAAGGATGTTAAATTCTTCATTGGATACTTGCCAATCTCTGCCAACGCCAAGGTCATTTTTGATGTCATAAATCATTACAAGACCAATGAGAAGGAGAAGAGTGTTTACTTGTTTGGTGGTAGCACTGCTGAGGGCGCCGTGGTCCATGGCGTCTACGTCGCGAAGGTGCGTGTCTCGTAACCGTCTAGTTTTGTCACAGCACCAGACTAATTCCAACAGGATCTTGCATTGAAGGGTGTGACGGCTGAGGCTTGGGCAGCTGCTGTGTCGAAAGTTGTTGGAGGCAAATCCGGTGGCAAAGAGCCGACAAGGCAGGGTCGAGGAACAAATGCCGAGAAGATTGATGACGCTGTCGAGGCTGCAAGGAATTGGCTTGAGCAGAAGCTGAGGCTGTGAATGAGTTCTTGGAGCTGGAACAAGGGCGATAGCATTTGATATCTCGGACATTTGCAAAGACACCAGTCAGTTTCCTGAGGTAGAAGAGACATGCCAGGCTTAGTACCGCCATTATCTTTTCGAGTTTTGCTCAATGCATTTGGCCTACGTGTGCTATAGGAGCACTTGAGATTATTGCCTATTTCGATGGCTTAGAATGGGGGCTGTCGGAAGGTGGCGTTGGCGGGCCGGGCCGACGACGCCACTACCCGTCGAAAGTCGCCTTCACCACTGAGTCTAAAACCGAACCCGTCGTCTTGCTCTCTTACATAAAAATTAGAATCAAACGTGAGATCTTACTCGATTTCTTAATAGCTAGGAGGTGCGAGTTTAGTTGCAGAGAGCCCCAAATTGCCGCCCAACGCTTGCGACCCCCTTATGTGTCCAGCTAGGGTACCTGATTCGCCTGACAACGGGTCGCCGCGAACAAGGCTCAATTCTCTACCCAGGCTGCAACGACTTGGTGGTGATATGCCCAGCGCGGCGTGGGACCATACGATACTGGATCCTCGCCACGATCTTATATCTTAAACTACTAGTCGGACCGCCATATCCCCTTTCCTGGACCACGTATATTATGCCGTCGCAGTGTACGCGGTCGCCAACATCGAATGCCTAACGGAATTCAATTATTGGGAGGAAGCAAGCCAGCGTAGACGCTAATAACGTACCATTCTTTTGACGTTAAGATTCAAGAGTCGTACTATGACAGTCCTGTTTCATGGGTCTTAGCAATGCTGGTGGATATAGCTGGATTTATTTAAGGTAAGTCGGGTTTTTAAACCGGGCACAAAAGGGTTAGGGTTAGGGCTACGGGGATTTTAGCTTTATAACTAAAATATTAAAAATATTAGATACTTAATTTTCGTATATTTAACCTTATTTAGTTCATCTTATTAGGGTATTTCAATTGTATTTTAATTATATAATACCTTATAACTCCTTATAACTTAAAAGATAATACTTTATAACCCCCTATAATACTAGCTATAATACTAGCTATAATTTATGGCCTCTTGATCGCAGTGACAAACAACGACAACTTTGGGCTGCAAGAGAGCGAGCGACTCTTCGAGCGCTTTGTAGGCGAGATTGTCATTACGAGCTCGTTCATCACTCTTCTCCCTGTTTCTAATCCTCTGACAGCGAAGAGATCTTGCATCCAGAACAACAGTGTTGTGGAAGTTTCTCTTTCCGCGAAATGCCAGTTGGAGCGATTTGTCCAGGTTCCGCGTTGCTGATGGCACATTTTCGTCTGACAGAATCTTCTCGTGAGGAAGAATATCCTCCTTGTCTCCGGGTTCTAGAAGAATAATGGCAAGATCATCGTAGCCTAGAGCAGCATAAAGCATGTTCCTGCGAGCCTGGCTTGTCGGTTGCAGGCTGTTGGCTAGCTAAATCACAGGACGAATATGACGTTTTGTGAGTTTTCCGACGCTTGCTATACTGCAGTTTTGTAGAGCGTCGAAGATATCTTCTGGCTTATTAAAATTAAATTCAATTGGATTCATTGAGTTCAATGGCGCAAATGTTCTGATGAATGACTTCGGTATAACAGGGTGCGACAACCCCTTCTTCCCTGGGACACCCTTGATTGGTAATTTGTCTTCATCACCGCCATCATTGCTCTCGAATCGAGCTCCTACTCTCGAGCGAAGCCACCTGTTTGCCTCGCGTTGTCCGATAAGGAGATGAAAGTCGCCAGTGACGAAACACAAACCCGCTGTTGGGGTTCGGCTGACGAGGCAGCACTGCTGCTATCGACTGAGCTCGTATTTCAGGACAATAGCGCGGGCCTCTCCAGTCATTGCCGGCAGCGAAGAAAACTAAAAAGTGTGCCTGTCCGGGCCTCGCACATTCAGGCGATACAGCCCTTCCTCCCCCGTTTCCAGGATACCCCCATCTACGCCATCTGCTGAATGTTTCGGAAAAGGCGGCGTACAATTGCACTTGTCGTCTTCGTTCAGGTTGGATAGCTGCTTTTGTAATCCCCTTCCGCGCCGCCCTCCCTGTGCAAGGCGGCAGGGACCAGAATGTGGTGAATTTGGACTGTTATCGACACGATGTGGAGACATCTCTCGATTAAATAGATATAGTTAATACGTAGTATCTCTTCAAGACCTGTAAACCTGCCTCCCAACTTTCGGATAAAACCGTTCTTGTTGATAGAACAGGCAAACTTGGCGTAATTTCCAGTTATCATAACGTCGGTTATTACGACTAAACTTTTCCTAAAAAAGAGATTAAATGAAAGGGTTTTTTTTGGTATTAAAAAAATAGCTATAGACAGAATATTCGTGATATAGAATAACAAGAATAATAATTGAAGAAAAAGCATAGTCAACAATGAGTCTCATCACGTGACAAGATTGAGTTACGTGGCAGTCTCGCAGAATAAGACGTCCATATCTTGAAACAGCCTACAATTCACGGACTCTCAGCTACTGAAATGGAATTTTTTTCAACGTTCCAAAGTAATTTATTTGAGCAACGGGCTATATGAATACCTCATTCTGGCCGCAGCGCCCCCTTCTGTGGATCAAACCCCTGGGCCCTCCGATATGGGGGTTCTTCTCTAACCTCAAATCCAAGATAAGTGGTCATGAAATCTCAAGAATTCTCAGAATCTACATAGGGCAAAACCATTGCTGTAGGAGGGGTACCCTTAGAAGGGGGAGGGGAGCCTTCAGCGTGAGGTAATTTTGGATGAGGAGGGGCCCCGGGAAGAGAGGTCATCTGAGAGGAGCCCCGAGAAGAAGAGACACCTTGACCAGAAGAGAAATCCCTAGAGGAGGCAGCCCTAGGAGGAAAGAAACTCCCAGGAGGAGAGAGTTGGCCTGGTGGAGAGAAGCTTGTTCCATCACCCATCTGACCTCCTTCAGGGCCAGGAAATAGTCCTTCCGGGGAGCCTGGAAACGGACCGCCTGGGGAACCTGGAGACTGACCTCCTGGGGACCCTGGGAACGGACCTCCCGGAGACCCTGGGAACTGACCTCCCGGAGACCCTGGAAACTGACCTCCTGGAAATCCTGGAGAGGGACCTCCTGGAGAGCCTGGAAACTGACCGCCTGGAGAGCCTGGAAACTGACCGTCTGGGGAACCTGGAGACTGACCTCCTGGGGACCCTGGGAACGGACCTCCCGGAGACCCTGGGAACTGACCTCCCGGAGACCCTGGAAACTGACCTCCTGGAAATCCTGGAGAGGGACCTCCTGGAGAGCCTGGAAACTGACCGCCTGGAGAGCCTGGAAACTGACCGTCTGGGGAACCTGGAGACTGACCTCCTGGGGACCCTGGGAACGGACCTCCCGGAGACCCTGGGAACTGACCTCCCGGAGACCCTGGAAACTGACCTCCTGGAAATCCTGGAGAGGGACCTCCTGGAGAGCCTGGAAACTGACCGCCTGGAGAGCCTGGAAACTGACCGTCTGGGGAACCTGGAGACTGACCTCCTGGGGACCCTGGGAACGGACCTCCCGGAGACCCTGGGAACTGACCTCCCGGAGACCCTGGAAACTGACCTCCTGGAAATCCTGGAGAGGGACCTCCTGGAGAGCCTGGAAACTGACCGCCTGGGGAACCTGGAGACTGACCTCCTGAAGAGCCTGGAAACTGACCTCCCTCACCGCGTGAAGCAGTCTCATCGCCCACGGTGGATGCCAGAGCAAACTTGGTAAAACTATCCGCATTGTCAAGGCTCGACTCTTTATCAAGCTGCTTACATTTTTCTACGCCATACCCCCTGTCGTCTGTATACCCGACAACATGGCTCATCTCGTGTAAAAGTACGTCGCCAAGGTCCTGAGAACGAATATTTGTCGAATTTCGGTCGTCCGTCAAGGCTACCATACAGAGCGTAATCGGGCCTGTACCCTGATATGTCTGTCCTGCGATCCCTTGCTGACACTGCTCACATTTGACAGCGACGCGACTCTTGTCCTTTTTATCACATTCTGCCTTGATATTTGTAAAATCTCTTCTTATTTTTGCGAGGGCCTGTTGGTCGTTTGTCCCGGTGTTGAACCAATCTTGCAACAACTTCGGCAGGGTTTCCTTGCCGTCTTCTTTTGGCTGGCCGACTCCCTGCCCGGCGCGTTTTGCGTTTCCAGACGTGTCCTTGGCGGGAAAGTCCGTCCCATTCAGGGCCCTTAGGGCGTTACCAGCCCTCTCGGAGCATTTCTTGAAGGCCTCGTCAACCTTTTGCTGAAATTGGCGGCAGCTGTCTTGGATTCCGCGTTTTTTATGTTCATGTTCGGTATGCTCGGAGCGCTTCAAGAGGCATCCGCCAATGGGCTCTGACCGCTGAAAGTTCATGGGCAAAGTCATTGGCTCAGTCGACGGGCGGTTGGGGATTGATAAAGCCCTGACGGCCGTCAAGGCCAACGCGACCTGGATGAGGATGTGTCGTCCCATTGCGGCGATATTTAAAGAGAGTGGATCAAATATTGAATGGCAGAAACTAATACGTTGGACGATTCAGTCCTGCATATCAACTTAAGAAGGGCAGGATACTGGGCTTTATAATGTGGGAGCTTGGATGCATCTACGGTCTAGATATAGGCTATGTAACACCAATATTTGAGGAAGCGAACCCGATAGGTTCTGCATAAGAAGAGGAGACAACCATTTGAAACCCACTTTCACCAGGTATATGCTAAGGATTTTAAAACAGCCGATAGGACCACGATTTATCTGCTTCATGCGCATTATTATATTTAGAGGGACGCATAAAAGTTCAAACTCCGCAGCAACGCCATGTAAGTTGAGGCTGAGTATCGTGTCTCGTGAGCATGGTTGTTGACCCTGGATTCCCATTTAATTTTTTTACTTGCAGACCAAAGCTGGAGGGGCTTGCCGTACCTGAGTGGCCTGGCTGTATCTGACCCGTTTTCAGAAGCCCATCCGTCGTCGCTGCGCCTGCAACCAAAGCGGATCGACAGACAGCTTTTGTACGAGCTCATGCCCATTGGTGTGGCTGGGTCTGTTTCTCTTCCGAATGACTCATGGAATCACAAGCCTCTTGAATCAAGAGTCGTCAACGTCTTGGCAGACTGGAGTCACCAGCTCGACTGACCAGCATCGGCCACTTTACCAATGTTGGAGTGGGTGCAACTTTACAGTCTTACCAATATTGGTATTGAGATCGGTGGTCGATCAGATCGACCTAGGTTCTTAGATCTAAGTCGCGCGGCTCCTATGCGGGGGATACACTAGCTGCGAAATGATTAGAATGCGCTTCATCGCAAGCTTCAGATCGTCTGGGGAGAGATCATTGATCAACCAACAGAACGCTCATAGCGGACACTTCTTCCTCTCTTCTACTAAACTTACATGCCACCCCCACACACGACGTCTATTCTTTTCGCCTTATCAATTCGGAGGAGTTTCTGCCCATAGTTCAGCTGGAACCTCACGGATGAAACGATTAACGTCGTATGTACTCCGTAGTACGCCAAGATCCTAGGCTGCATAAATCCATCCGGTGCCGCGTGCCACATGCAGCCCAAGATGTTCAGGTCTTTAAAAGGTGACAACTAATTTTTGCATTCTCATGCGTAGGTGAGCGTGTGTATTTCATTAACATGAGACAGGAATGGTAACAGCTTGTGAGCTGTTACTGGACATATGAGTCAATGACAAGCCTGCTCAAATGGGGTCTGGTAGCTGTTTTGAATGGGAGGATTTGATTGGCAGACCTGACTCTAAAACGTGCAATCGACCATAAAGCTGTTGGGAACTGGATCTTCGCATGGTAATCTAGGTAAAACTTGCCCGGAGGGGTAAAGGGCTTCTGGATCATGCCACCTGTGATCCTCTACATGCTTTCTCTTTGGCCCACACATACAGATTTTGTTGTTTAAAGTAAAGGCAGTGGTTGACGAGTCGGTTTCTCTGAAAATGTCCAAATTAGGATCCCCTTGATGGCGCGATGGCTCCAGGTAGGCATTTCTCAAGAGCTCGGCCAGCAGGCAATTTTTTCTAATTGATAAGTCTACTGCCACAAAAAGCGGCGTCGGAAACAAAAGAGAATTTTTTTGACAGCTAAGCATTCTCTGTACGGTTGCATACCGGGTTGATCGGCATAGTGAGAGTGGCTGCATGATGACCAAAACAAGCACTGAGGTGATACTGGGTTAGAGGCCGGGGTATCCTGGCGCGAGAGAAAATCTATGTGGATAGATGATGGAAACGGGGGACTCGGTCACGTTGACAGATAAGTCGAGACTTAAAATTTGGTTTCGAAAAATACCCTCTAACTTCTGACAGCAGAATCCTACACTATTAGACGGACTCATTGGATGCATTGAAGTGTTAATGGAGTCGGATGATGTGGGCTATAGCTTTATGCACACACCTCCCAATAGACTACTTGCTATGGCGTGATGCACGACTCGATATTCGCGAACGTCTGTGTTTCACCAGTACAAATTGACTCCAAACCGTGGAATCCACATCAACCGATAAAGATCCTAACGTTGTATATGGCTACTGATTCAACAGAAGAGCGGTCAACATGTGGATGAGTAGGCCTTCTGAATCGATTTGTCCCCTGCATATTGTATCGGGTATCCCAAGTCTTGCGCCATGCCGGATTGATTTCGAGGAACAGCAGACATAATTTTTGGGTCTCTGCGAGTAAACGCCATTGAGCTCACAATTACAGCAGCATTTTTGACAAGTTTTGTCTACACTATTATTTGACAGATTGCTAAACCACGACATCGGGTAGACCTGGAGCACTCATTTAATCACCATTTTACCCATGGAATAAATTTCAGGACTCGCACATTCTCAGTTGATAATCTCCTCTTACTATTCCGTGGCTATAGTATGTTTCACTTCCTAGGATTCTAACGGGCCTCTTTCGCCAAATCATGTACGCCTAGAACAAGTATCATACATGTTAACGACGTAAATCATTCAATGTCAAATCAAAGACTAATTCAATTATGCTGAAAAGCTTGCAACTACGTGCTGGTCATAAGCTGACAGCTTTTGCCTGACAGGCATGATTTACAAGTCTACGAAGTTTTGGTTGTCTGAGATAGTATTCGCTTTAATATGTTGCTTGTAGAACAAAATTCCATCTGCCGCGGATAGTGACGGCTCGGCATCATCATTGTGCATTCATAATAATAATGTACTATCCGCCTACCACCATAAACAAATTCGAGAGCCACAGGATGCTGCAACGGACATGAGCAAAAGACATGGTCACTGATATGGAAGGGAGTGACACTGCAATTGGCACCAGGCCACTCCCACCTGAAGTGATTCTTCGGTGCTCATCATTTCGTCCGCTACTATCCCGAACACTGTTTTGTATACATGCAGGCTTCTCAAAAGTGGACATGATTCAGTACCCGTTATCGATCTCGTAACGGTCCAAGCTAAGGATATTGACAGTTAGCTAGGTGACTACTACACGTATCTAAACACTAACGAAGAAATAGAAACGGAACAAGAAAAGGAGAGCTCGACACGTGAGTAATTTCGCTTGTAGGTGGGCGCCGAGGCCGAAGGCGAGAGTGTAAACCGCGCCACATCAAGCTCCGCCCCTACTCCATTTGATCGTGCTTCGGTTGGTTTCTGTTATACGGAATAAGGCCGTCACCATATATATATCATAATACAGTCTCTTTCAGTAGGAGGCCTCCATTTTTGGCAGACGTGCTCAACAGTTTCCGATTCTTGAAGGCTCATAGGCTTCTGTAGTTAAGAATACTAGTGTATTCAACTTCGAACGCTGGCAAAAATGGACACCTAACCCATTACACGGCACACGTCATTTGGCCGACACGCTTTGGCACCGAAAGAACCAATGTGGCTTGAGAGGCCTTGAATGCGGTCTATTCTTCAGTAGATTCTTCTCGTTCTGCTGCCCAGCCAAGTATTTGGGGTTGAAAGTGTTGAACCCTCACGCAGTAGGACTTGACCTTTTGATATCAGCTTCCGGACACTTGTGATAGGTAGCTCACGCTAGGGGGCCACAGTTTCATCTGTGGTGCCGGTATCCATTCTGGTCTTCTTAGTGACAACAATTGAGGTTGTAGACAGCTTTCATATTAAGGGTGACAGGACTCGTGCCCTGGCTCGACGGCGCATGGGATTGAATGTATTGGATTGGATTGGTATTTGCCATTGTTCTGGCTGGCGAACCTAGCTACGATCCCGCCCGCTTCTTGCTTTTCGTTTCACTTTTTTTACGGCTACCTTCTCAATATTGGCGACTAGATTGCGATTCAGCGTTTAACAGCGCATGACCTCAAACAGGAACCGGAGGCTGAACTAGCTTGAGCCCTTACGGTCATTCTCATTGTCCTTGCCTTCATTTTTTGCCAACAGATCTATGGCTTCCACCTTGAGGATCGCCTTACCCGGTACTTGAAGATTTCCGGACCTTTTATTGCCGGTATTCTCCTTGTTTTAGCGATTCCACGTATCCAACTCTGACTTCACCACTACGTCATATCTCTGCTCCTTCTTCCAGGCAGAAGCATGCAAACTCGGCCATTTTTTCTACACCAGGGTATTCTCCTTGGCCTCTTTGTCAATGGGATTTGTACGATGTGGCTTCGACTCGATTCTATCAACACCCGATGCGCTTCGAGAGAGTGGTGATTTTAATTCTTTGTTGCCCTCGCTTATGAAGCCGGTGATGGTGTCTGGTGACCGAAAGAGCAACGTTTGTAAGCACCACCACAAGACCTAGATAGCATCAGCGTGCTTGTCAACGATGTCGAGCGATACTAGCACTTCATTGCTGAAGGTGGAATGGGGAACCTAATCTGGACCTAGCCGTTGATGTAGGTCTCGCCGAGTATTCCAGATTCTCGTTAATCAAAGATGGTGTGACATTGGAAAACACGAAAGCAGGCACTTGGTTTGCAAATGGAACCTGGAGCATCATGCCACCTTATTGATGGATATATCTCGTTTAGTTCTTCTAGCGACGTGATATAAAAAGAACCATCTTGCCATTCCTGCCTCTGGCTTACTCGCGTTTGCTTCCGCTCACTATAACAAGACACTCAAAAGGCCCCTGTCCGAGTCCGATCTTTTTCTTTCCAGCTTTATAGTTTCGTATAGTTTCCGGACCTGGAAGCCCAGTGCCGAGCTTCGTTCAACTAAGCCCAGAGCAGCTCCCTCGGACGAGTCAGACCGGGTGTTCTACTGGTAATTGGATAATGGGGCCATCAATTGCAACTGCCTAACCAACTTGTGTGGCAGCACGCTATGCTGACTAGATAACTCCTGGAATAGTTGTTTGTAGTCCAATGCTTTGGGTAGATTCATGATTGCATCACGACAGAATCGTCGTAGATTCTTGTCCGTATAAGATAAGTAGGCTCTCATATACCATTGGCTTGCATCCTCAGATTGTACGATGCATACATGATTGGGTTTTGTCAACTGATGTACTAGTTACTGGTCTATCGCATCAGGAGCAAGTGTGGTGCTTGTTGTTCAATCCCACAGCCCATCTCTTATTCAGTTCAGACTCACTAAATCGTTGCGCCAAACCGCCCATTTACATCCCGTAGCTCACTTAGTCGAGGCCAAGATAATCAAGAAATGACAAAAGCCACCACATTGAACCTATAGGGGCGGTGACGGTCACAGCCTCGATTTAAGGCTCTTCTCCAGGGATGTGGAAGCCGGCCTCTGCCACTGTCTTTATTGAGCACCTTGCTTCGCCTCGTGTATCGGTCGCTCTTTTAATGTCATGTAACATTCTTCGCAACCCTTTTCCCTTTCTCCCCTAGACAGGCGGGGCAAGATACCCTCCCCGGCCTGCTTACACTAAGAGTACATTGCGTTCATGTACTCGGCATCTGCTGGCTAACTTGGCTTATGAAATGCCTTCCCCTCTCCGCGCTCCTGCATATTCTTCCTGAGCTAGTTTTGCATCTCTTCATGCTCTGGGTTATAGACGGCCTGACCATACCATGATGACGATAGCTGACTGGGTTTCATCGCGTACACGTGGAGAAACACCTTGCTTGCGAAGTCCCTTAAACACTTAAGAATGAGTCCCTCATTAAGAAGCAACGGATGCGCTGTAAGCTGCTATTAACTTTGCTCTTTGACCCTCACCGTAACACGCCCACGAGCCCGGTTTCATATATCGCATTCGCACTAACTGGGACATGGTTGACGTCAACTTGTCTCTGGAGAACATCGCTCCCTTTCCGCGGCAGCACGAGCACGCTGCCGTGCAGGGAATTCCATGGAACCAAATTATGGGCTGGTATCGTATCACCACTGCCGACGTGAACCGAATTCTAGGTGCAGACGATCCTGTTAGCGAGATGGGCCCATTTACGCGGAATCCCGACTTCTGTCCTGATTTAACGTATCCTAGTGGTGCCTAGCCATAGCTTGTAGGACTTTAACTTCCCGTGGAAAACCGTCATGGGGCGTGGGAGGCTTTCGTTGGCTAATCTGTAACAGACTACCTGAGAAGTTTTATTAGGAACCACAGTCCACAGGCAGACACGGCAGCCCTGAGAGCAATTGATTGGTCTTCCATTCGCATTCCGGACCATTTGCGAACAACGATAGCCCAGGGTGCTGCGAGCTCGGTCTAGTGTGCCCTTACGGCGGCGGCGATTGTCGTATCCTTCGGAAGACATGACCAGCTCAAGAAGTCCATCCCAGAAGGCCAGCTAACTACCGCCGAGGAGACTGGTACGTGGCACTCTGGAGTGGAAATATGCACCGAGACTAATAGGTGCTAGGAAACAATAGCTGTGGCAGGCTCGCTGCCGTGGTAAAGCCCAAGATAGATAATGAGAAGCCTACCGTTAAGTTTTGCGACATTCTGCGCTCGGGGGGAAGTCCAATGACCTGTAAGTGCCGGCTCAAAAATATGGTATGTCCTATCTTCTCGCTCCTTTGCACGTAGTTAGCATATTGGCCCTTGATGGTTGCTAAGTTCGTGTCCACTAAGTTTGAAATGCTATAGTTCCTCTTCCTTTTGAATGGAATGACAAGGCCTTTACCGTCCGTCCGAGTGTTGCCGCTGGCGTTTGCAAATTCTTTAGGTAGGAAAGCTACATATTGCCAAGGAGTTGGAAGCACCCTAACCGAGACTAAGACGGGCATAGGGATTATGGCTGTGTTGCCAATGATTTCGAAGTTGCTTATTCGGGTAACGATAATTTGGACGAGTTTGGTGACGGCCACTTTAACCGTATGATCAGCTTCTCCCGTTGCGAAGGTGCCGGCTCCCGGGAGGAGACTCAAATTGAAAGGCCGCCGACTGAATCCCAAGAGATATCTGGCGTCCACGTCTGCGAAAGTGATCGTTTCAGCCCGTCGTGTAGACGCTTTCCGGTTGCCGATGGGGATTGCGGTATGTGGATGTGTCCGGTGGAAGCCATCGTGTTTGCTAACACTTGTATGCAAAGCCAACCTGTCCGAAGCATGGGATAGCAGGGCAACTTCTATACGACTAGAGGAAAACGCTAGAGTCTGCAAATTCTACCGGTACTTTGCCCCCCTTTTCCCTAGCGACCTAATATTAAGGTTGCATATAATTAGAAAGACGGAAGGCTGATGAGTCTAGGTAGTCGACATGGTTGCAATGGCGACGATTTTAAGACTTCTTTCCCAGGCGTTGATCTATACAGCGATAAGAAGCTGAAATCATTTTACGACCAAGTCAAGTCCTTCCGTTGCGACTCGTCGCAAAAGAAGCCCGTGATAAATGTGAACAGGGCCGGGAACCTGTCAGATGCACGCCCAGTCTTCAATTTCCTGTTGCCCCCCCAGACGAGTGGCTTTAAATTCGAGGCTGCTGTGCAAAATCCGTCCAGACCGAAGAGGAATGCTGCCGCTCTCAACTACAATGGCTAGATATTCGGGCCGAGTCTCAGCCCTTTATTGCTCCCGACTCTTGGTATAAAAGCTGCGCTATCGGAAGCCTGACTTTCGATGTGCAGCTGGCTAATGTCGATTGGGCCGGAAGCGACGATCGACTGTTCCTCGAAATCGGCCACAGCTCGAAATGGGACGGCGGAGAGCCTCACTCTCTGCTCAAGACATCCCCTGACAAGGGGGACAAAATGACAAAGGAAATCAACCTCAAAGATGCGTTTGACAAGAGCCCGATTACTCCGGGCGATATCAAGCACGTGGGACTTGCTAGTCGCGTGGACCACGGGGGGCTGGGCACGGATGAGCTTAAGCTCCAAGGTATGTGTCTTGATACCCCTCAACCTGGCGATTGCTATCGAATAAGAGGAGAAACTAACCCGTGGCATCTGCTAGACATGACATTACGCTTGCGATGTGCTGGAACCAACATTACCGCTGAGGTTCGCAAAACTAATGACTCGTGGCTTACTTTCTGGGCAGCCGATATTAGGCCTACGGAGTGGGCTTGGGATCTTTGCTCTTAAAGCCAAAGGTGCTCCGTGGAGTCGTAAATAGCTGCGAGACAATCGTGCAGTTCTTAATAAAGTTTTAGCTCAGATAGTCTACGGTATTTTCATATTTAATACACTATGCTATACTATAGTGCTTTTTTATTGGTTGGGAGATATTTGCAACAACAATATATTACAAGTTGACCTCTTTAAACTTGATGAATTACACTACGAATACTTCACTAGTTGTTAAAGCCACCAACAGCAGTAAAAGTCTGCGCCTAATTTAGCAGGGAAAACAGCGCCGCTCAGATTCTGCGGACTCTTCTTTAGATACAGGTTGGAAAAGCCGCTGTTGCATGATGGTGCGTTTGACTAGACGATGTGCATTGTTGCGTGATTTAATGCGGGTTGAGAAGCGGAGTCGTCTTGCCTCTAGGAGTGCGTGGACGGGAGGTATGCCGCTTTCTTAATGCAAGACAGAAATCGAAGGGGTTTCTCAGGTTGATAGAACGGCTCGGATAGCCTGCTTGAGGGCTTTTCTTATTTTGCGTATAAGCTGCTAGATCCGAGATGGTCCTTCCTTGGGCGGCTGTCTTCGGCGCGGCGAGGTTGTTTCTGGATATCAGGCTTCTAGGCCATACGTAAAAAGCCAAGTAGAATCATATCGGCTCGACGCGGGATCCGACGGCTCTCCGCACGGCGCTCGGTAGCGGACCGCGCCGTGTGTTCCCGGCGTTGGCTCCGGAGGTGGTGGGCGACTGCCTGGGCCTTGGCTGTCCACTTCTCAACATGACCTGACATGAATTATGGTGGATTGTGGTGCCACGAAAGGCGACATGGACGTCTATTGTGCCGGCCTGACTGTCCGACGGGTCCTTGGAAGAGGAACAACTCGAGCTGCATGTCACTAGACGGCACGGGATGCCGAAGTGGGAGGTGGCATGTAGCGCTGGAGCATTAGACGGCTAGGGCACAGCCCGTGTGTGATCTTGCATTTGATCTGCCGTCGCAAGCATTGTTTATTCCCGCTAGTGTTTTTTCTTAAAAAGAAAAATTACCGTAACAGGCTCTGTACAACAACCCGTTGCGTCAATACGTACTATATGTAGAGAACAACATGGCATGAGCAGGTACATAAATAATAACGTCCATGGTTTATTACGTGGTTTGTTGCGGTTCTCTGCCTTAGAAGGGCCAGCACATGGTGTTACTAGACGTAACGCTTGTATGGCGCTTGCATAATACTTGTACTAGTATCTGTAAGAAAGAAATGTAAATAATAAAGAAAACTAATTCGTGATCCGCATTTAAAGCGCTACAGGTAATGCTACTCCGGTCGTGTGTTATGCCACCTTCATCAGTGAGGCCCTTCAGCAAGACTTCAACATAATGTCTCGGCTCAACAACTCCAGGATTAGGCTCATCATTCCGCGGAAACGGGGGGCGCTAAGAGTAGAACGGCATCTTGCAATAGACTAGTGAACGAGTGAATGTGTCTGGAGGTTGCGGACTGATCGAATACCGCGGGGCTTTTCTATGCAGGCAACAATGCAGCATGTGATATTTCTTTTTCGGAGGATATTAAACTAACACGTGGTGTGGTAGGATTACGGTCAACTGCCGTATAGCACGGGGCATGTATGAATATGTATTAATAGCTAAATGTTACCCCCCGCCATGAATAGACGCCTAATTCCTCGCATTATACCATATTAACTCCAGCGGCACACAATGCGACCACGGTGCATCTATCGTCTTGGCAGCTAAATAAATTCCTGCGGTACAACTAGCACTACCACGAGTGGAGGCAATCTTCGGTAGCACAGATTGTTTATTCCTCCGTGTCTCTACATTAAAATCTCCTCTTTACTATTTTAAACCCCGCTCCAGGTAGCTGTTTGCCATCTATATGTGTCTCCAATGTTTGGCATGTGCGGGAACACTGAATAGGCTAACTCGCATAGTTAGTTTTGTTGCCGCTAATGCGAAATGACATGAAGACGCTTTTTTAAAACCTCTATCTTTAAGACGTACTAATAAGATCTCTTACCAGAGTATTTTATAATGTACTTGTTGTTCTTACGTTTCGCAGAGTTGACATGGGATAGATTTAACGAGGAAAAAATTGAAATTATATGTAAAATATTAAAATTGTAATAGTATATTTGATGTTATCGTCACGTGGTGTGCTTGTCTTGACTAGGTCATAACAGCAAAGAGCCCGTGAGAGCACTCGGGATGCGCTTTCGAGATAAGTGTAACCCAGACTATAGTAATATAGCGTTGCATCCAGTTTCGCAGAAACGATGGGCTTATTTTATCCCTCGTGTGCTTAATGATTACTAGCTCACCTACCTGCTTAGGTAGGTAGTTAGCTGGCCTATATAGCATTTGGTTTAATGAATGACATGCCAAGTCGTAGAGTTACATGCACTGGCATAGCTACCATAAACAATTGCCCGTTTTCCGTCTTTTTTTCTTTTTTTTTTTTTTTGATAATAAGCGCCTGTAGATTGTCCTGTATTTGCAAAAGGAGTGGGTAGGCGTCTGTCACACGGATTAGGTCAAGCAAGGATTAGAAGCCCTTTGTTACACAAGGAGATCACGAGAACTATGGGGCACACTAGGCACGGGCCGTTCCTTTCATGTATATAAGATAGTCTTCCCTCGCCTTCTGGCTTGGAGGAACCAAGGACCTTTGACATCCTACAAGATTATCATTGAATTGAGCCCTTTTGCTTCAAGCCCTCTAACGAGCCCTTGTCACAGCGTCTGCGTAGAATGTCACTTGCGTCAACCTTCTCAAGGTACCCCAAGTCCTAGCCATTTATTGTGCAGCACCGTTGTGCCAAACGGTCACACAGAGTCATGCGACCTAGAGTGAGGCCTTAGGCGCTTAGGTCTTGTTTGCTATCAGAAGCGGTGACGGTTTCAAGGAACATTTGACATGGCAAAGAGGATCATTAATTGAATCGAGAGTTGTTATGCTGCCCCAAGCCCTATTACCTCAGCCCTTGTCACACTTGGAAAGCTACATAAGCTGGATGTTCTACCTCCAAGTCTCCTTGTTTTTTTTTCTCATAGTCTTCAACGCGCCCTCGATATTTTAAAAGCAATACAAATAGCCAAGTGACAAACTTCCATGTCCTTGACGATGTCTGTGAGGCAGAGTTCCTTTTATGGTGGAAAGGGAGGAAAACCCTACACTCTCTACCCGGACAAAACCTCACATGTGAAGCACTTGAAGGTGTGGGCTGGAAAATCAGCTAGTAATGTCTCCGAGCACGTCGTTGTCAAAGGGATCGAGGTCGAGTGGTTCAATGGGGAAAAGCGCAAGGTCTACAATCATCCCAACCCAGATGACGCATCTACCGAGTATTCGTTCCAAAACGGCGAGACTGCAGTTTGGACTATACGGGCAGGAGATGTCATTGACAGACTTGAGTTTGACACGAGCACTGGACAAGGCTGGAATGCCGGAGGCCTCGGTGGCTCTGTTCATGTGCGAGAAGTGGGCGTGGAGGAGAAGGCCGAAAGAAAAGGTAGAGAAAGAGAGGGCAGAGGGTGAGGTTCATATCTTCGTATGTTGGTCCATGTCTTTATATGAGGACCACGGACCACGGGCCAGCCCACCATCAGCCCTGGTCGCACAGTTCACTGTCAATGCTCCTTCGGAGTCCGTCCAGCACAGTGGGCCCCTAGCCAGTCAAACGCTAGGCTGCTGGAGTGTGGGTGCTAACATTTGAACCGTTGACCCTTTTGGATACGGGAGAGACAAAAGGTGGTGCTTGCATAGCAGTGTCTGTCAAGTAGCTGACGACACGTGATGACGGATAACGGCCGGGGGTGGGGAGGCGTGAAAAGGAGATCGGGGACGGATTGGTTCGTTGGGAGAACGTAGACTTGTATTGTTACTTTTGTCTTGATTGTTTGGCAACGATCTTGTCGGGCAGACACGGCAGAAGCCTGTTTCATCGAGGTTGAACGAGACTACCAAAGCGCTGGGAACGAAGAGACACCAGCGAGCGACAGTCAGGGACGACGTGGGCCAGCATTCATTCATCCATCAATCATTCGTCGATTGGGCTCGACACTGGACGGTGTTTGTATAAGGCGATTTCGAGTGCGGAGCGTGAGCGAGTGGTTACCGGGGAGACGCGTTTGGAGACGCGTTGCTGACCCTTGTGTAGTGTGCGGCAACGTTTTCTCTGCTTACGACATCAACGCCGGGCGTGACATTTATGCGGTATTCCATACGCTGGGATAGTAGAACACCTCGGTTGGACGACACAATACAACGACAGGATGGAGAACATAGCCGCGTTGGGGGGCGGGGCACAACTGGTGCGGCGGATGGATGAGATTCTACGAGAGACGAGGTTGTTGCGCATTGAAGTAGCTGTCATGTGGGTACCGTTTTATTGGTATGGCTCACCGCTGCTGTGAGACAGTCACTGACTTTGTGCATTGTGGTAGGAGCAAGAACTTTACGTCGAGGTTGGGTAATAGCATTGTCGTAGCGGGGAAGATGCCACTGTTGCCTTTGTATAATGTAACGACGGGGGAAGAAGTGACGAATTGTCCCGAGACTGAGCGGTGTGACAGTAAGTAGCTCCCAGATGGGGGACGCAGGGAGGCGGTACAGACGAAAGAGGAACTGACGGATTGAATACAGCTCGGACAGCCGCAGGGATACTGCAAGAACTGGGCGAGACGGTACCTCGCAGCTTGGAACAGATGATCAGGCAGTTGAAGTTGACCTTTGGGATTCGGACGCAAGTGATTTAGTGTGGATCGCATGGAATGAGGAGATGTGGAGAGATGGACGGATTGTATCTTGGTCTCGAACAAAGTTATTCCATCTCAATACCCACGGGTCTTGGTATAGGTTTTTACCCCTTGCGGCGAAGGGTTTTTCCCTATACTATGATGCAAATGCAAAGGCAACAGGGCATTATCTTATCTTCATGTTATGCTATTCATAGTGAGATGTACTGTATATGGTAGCGCACATATGTCCAGTTGCTCATGATGTCTTTATTTCTGCTAATTGTGCCTTGTGTCCTGACTTCCACCACATGGGCCCACGTCACCCATCTACCATTTTCTTAAAGGTGAAGGTGTGTCCAAACGCCAGGTAGGGATCAGATTGACCGTGTAGTCGAGAATGCAGTAGAAGAAGGCCCAGTGGGTGTCATCTATCTCACCCGTGGGCGAGCCAAATCGACATCTTGACCCTGTTGGCGAATTCAGCATCTTCCTTTGCGTTTTGTATGTAATCTGATCGGGCCTTTTCTGACGCACTTCGAGAGTCATCCGAACGGCTCTTGCGAGATGAGTCCTCGCCATTCGGGCGATACAGGAAAAACTGCCACACGAGCATTCCCAAGGGAAAGTAAATCAAGGCCTCCTTCTCGATGGGTGTCATCGCTTCAGGGACGGCAAACAGCTCAGTTCGGGCAGCACCACTCGATCTCCTGGCTCTAGATCGGCTAGCGAGATGGAGAAGTCGACATCGAAAAGTTTTGCCTTGAACGTACCGTCGTGCTATTTAAAGACAAGCTCGTTGTCACACTTGACGTCGCCGTGGACGACGCCAACCTCGTGCAAAACGGCAAGTCCTCTCTGAGCACATCGAGAATCAGCGCCGCCTTGACATCGGCGGACTGGGCGCGCGCAGATCGGACGAAATCGTTTAGTGAGCCACAGTTGGCGTACGGTCAAAAGGAGGACATTCTCCAGCGAAGTCACAGAGTGGAGATATGGTGCGGAAATTGTCGTGCAATCCAGTTTTGATCCAAGCCTGCGACATTGAATCCCAGACGGCGTGAGCTTCAGGTGGTCGAGATCCGAGACAGATTTCTTGAAAAACCCAGTCATATCGCTGTGTAAGGTTGCGGTCGGACAGCAACACAAGCTTTCCCTTGAGTGAGAAATATACATTGTCCCAAGAGACGCCCTTGGATCCAGAAAGAAATGGTGCATCGGAGCCTTTTACGATGGTGCCGTACACTCTGCGCATAGTCCGTTGCAAGACTGTCAAGGTTATTACACCGCGTGGCCCGCGGGTCTGTCGACTTTAATGCCCTAAAACAATAATAACCATTGTGTCAATATTCCAGCTCAAGTGCGCACACGATCGGTCGCTTGGACAGACAGACGTGCATATCGGCAATCGTCAGGCGGCCAAGTATAGTCGAGGAGTTGGGAAAAGAGCAGGTCCTTTTGATGATTGCGTAGTAATGGTGGCGCTGCCAGTAACTCTTTCGCATCAACACCGTCTACCAAGGAGCTTCCTATCCGCACCCCCTTATTCCGGCGTTGAAAATCCTTACCATTGCTAAGCACGTCGTGATCCGAATGATACCTCCAGGGACCGAGATGTTCTGTTTTCTCCCATTCGACTTGCCTTGGTTTAGAAGCCCAAGCCTTGTACTGTAGCCTATAGTAGGGAAATCCGATATCCGACATCCTCTCTGCTGGAACGCTGTCTTTTGCTGATCGACGCCTAACTTTCTGGTAAGCATTATGAGGAGTAGAGCATGTGACGCGGCCCATGCTGAGTTGGCTAGAATCGATTTCGTGGTTGGGAACCTTGCGTCTCAAGTAGTGTAAAGTAAGTTCTAGCATGCGATCATTGAGAAATGTTGATCGAGCCGGCTTCTTGCCAACCAATTTAATTCCTGAAGGTGGCTCACCTGGGGTGTATTAATATGAATACACATTGGCATCATGGCCACGGAGCGAAGAGGAGATGGAGAAGTTGCATGAACTCACGACATATGCTCTCCACACGTCCAGGTGGAGCATATGGCCAAATACCTCCCGCCCAAATTTCAGGAGCCATTGGTATTTTGGCCAGGTTATACTTCCTCGTATGGGGGGGTGCAAGTTCTTCGTGGGTCAAACTCTGAGCTTCTTTCCCTAAGAACGTAGGTAGGTTAATAACTCTATACAGGTCAGACCACGGCCTTCGCTTAGGCCTCATGCAGGGAATCCTGTAGTATTGATCCTCCGCATCTTCCAGGGGGGAAATGAGGCATTTCTGCTCAAGATGCTGTCTCAACTCAAAGACCCATGACCATCGCATTTTGATCTTCCGTTCCTTTATACACATGATCGGGCCTGGGATTGAGGTGAGGTGGTTCAGGATATGCTGAATTGATGTTAAAGGTGAAGGGATACCCCGTGCCCGACATTCCTCCATAATATAATCCCAGTCATAGGTAAGACTAGTAGCGTTAGACCAGCCTTGGTAGGCCGAAGGGTTCGCTACAATAGTAGCAATCTCTTTCACTCTCTCTTGGCGCAGGTTACTTTCCCCAAAATTGGAAATTCCTATTCCCTGATTCGTAGGGAGGCATCGGCGCCATTTAGTGGAAAACGAGGCATCCCCTCTGGCCTAAAATTCATGCAATAGCGCACGCTGCGGGAAGACGGCGGCTTGATGACATCAAAGGTATCCAAATACAGCATGTCAACAGCCTCTGCCAGCGATAAGAACATGGCAGTATGAACGGCTAAAAGCCAACTGTATGGAAATTGGGGGAATGTTGACATGATCATGCAACGTGTGTGACTGATATGCCGTGCGGATAAACGCTGGTACACGTACAAATTATGCCTGTCATTACCCAGTCCATCCTTGGCCCGTTGGATGCCCACTGCATGTTCTTTCAAACACGCACTCAGTCCCATATGTCCGCAAGACTCATAGCCTCGCCTGGTCCTCGCCGCTTGGCCCACGTACCTGACCCCTTGATGTGACGAGTAAGAGGGGTCTACCTGGCCATGCAGAAAATATACGCAGAAGATAGGAAGTTCCTGAATGTCATCCTCAACTAGAATCGAGGGGAGACTCTGTAGAACCGGCACACCCAGCTCCAAATTGCCAAGAGCAGCCCGGACTCGAAGAGATCGGGTGGTAGTAAGGAGCAAAACGGCGAGAATGCGCTCTCGGGACTCAGCATCGTTATTAGCCCAGGCCCAACGCCAAAACTCAATTGTGCATGCGTCGGGACGCCATTTGTGCTGAGATTGTTCTGCCTCGACGAAGTAGTCTCCTTCACCCATTTTCTTAGCATAGTCAAGACTTCCAAATAGAGCATGATTTCGCCAGCCTTGCCTCCGCACCTAGCCGCTCCATATGGGGCAACGCTGTAGTTGTATAATTTTAGACGTGGCATTTTCTCCCAGGAGGTGATGTGATAGAGAGAAATAAGTTGTAACCTACGCTAAGGGAGGTTTCTTTACTTTGCTTGCGCAGCTGCTACACCTGACAATAGGAAGCATCGCTCCGTTCTGCAGCTACGCGATCAAGGACAAAAATGCTTGCCTGGCGCGACTACCTCCCCCTAGGATGTTGAATTTCTTTTCTAGCAGAAGGGATCAGGCAGTATTAACAAGGGCAATGGCTCTGGCAGTGTCTACTTTGGCTGCATGTTTACTGTCCTACGAGAATCATTAGTATTGACGTTAGCGATTAGTTAAAATAGCGAGCGCTAACGAGCAATTCTTCAGAAGTCAGGTGATAATAGGAGAGTGACTGTATTTTACTGAAACGCATTTATCAGGTGAGAGGGCACTGATTAGCCGAATCAGTGTATCTTCTTGTCTCACCATGAAGCTCCAGCGAAAAGGTCGACCACTCGGCGCAGCCCAAACAGCCTATAAACATCATCAGGAAGAACACAAGATGTAAAGCCCGAGGAACAGAACCTTATCCGCCACTCTGCAAGACTGCTAACGCCTCCATCGGTTAGCGCACGCTCAACTTGTATAGATAATGCTGAATTACTCTGTCTAGAACTGTCATACGGCATCCGTTTGTAAACTACAATAAATAAACCTACGGGCACCATATGCGTGTGTCCTGTTCCGGTCACCACGAAGTGCCAAAGTAGTGGCTGAATCCATAGTTGACTTGGTCTTGGATTGAAGCTTTTTAATGCGTCCATTGAGACATTTAGACGTCTCTACGCAAGATGTCTGCAGCTGCTTATTACAATTTGGTAAAGCTACTTGTCAACCGGTTTCTTGATAGTGACGGTGCGGGTGCCGTATCTGCAGATCAACCTTGTCACGTTTTGCCTTTCTACGCTTGATGCTAGGGAAATCTTGCTTGTCCTCTAATCCAATTGATGCTAATGCTTTTGAACGAGCCCGCTGACAGCCTACTTGGCCAGAAACGTCATTGCAGCCAGGGCCATAGCATCTATCCCAGTGCGGAGAGTCGGCTCGATAATGAGAGCAAAGTAGGGGGAGTAGTTTGTGGCGACAGTTTCGTCCGTATTCCCACTTCCGCCAAAGTTCCAGTACGCATGAGGCACATCGTGACCGCCCCCAAGTGTCGAGACGTCCTCGCACGCACGTGTGAATACCATTTCCAGAGCGTTGTTCCCAAAAATCTCTTTGAAGACCTTTCCAACAGCACCCGACATTAACTCGTCATTACTCGTAGGAGGAGCACGAACCTTGATGTAGATACAGGATCAAACCGTGGGATCGGTCTAAACTTGACCAAGGCCTTTCTCGGCCAATCGTACACGGTGTTTGCTACCATAAGACCAGAGAGTCGCCTCGACTCCTCATTTCGAGATGTACGGTCGGCCTTCCCAAGCACAAACACATCACGTATTATGCTTAGTGAACCGGGCTAAGCGCATGTAGTTGGAGCAAACTGGGGCGACTATTTTGGAGCTCGATTTCTTGGATGAGAATTCAATCTCTTCTGCCTCCAAGGCGTATGGCAATAGACCACTTGACATCCTCATTAATGTGGGAGGTGCTTTGCGGGTGCCGTCTCTCATGAGCAGTTAGGCCTCTCACCGCATCCAAAGTCATGGAAAGACCAGACAAGCTCCCTTATGCTAGAGAGGCTTCATGTTATGACGATTGTAAGTTTATGTCACCTGAGCCTTGCTATCTGGGGAGAATTATCTGCTTATTAGATTGCGATGAAGGGGCCGTTCCTTACAATGACGGAGTTTCTGCCGCAATTAGAGCTAGCCCCAGATCCCAAGGTTATCAATATATCATCTTCTTTCGGCTCCATCTCAAGTAGGTAGCCCTTTTATTGTCACTACGTTCCTTGCCTAGCTGGAAGAACCCACATGTATAGCTAATAATCTACCGTGAAGCGAATACATTTAGAACGTGTCTAGCATATCATACTGCAAAATGCGCATTTAACCAAGTCTCGGTTACACTAGCTTGAGAGTGGGAGTCTAAGGGGCGTAAAACTACGATTATATGTATAGAACCTGGCTTTTTATCTACTAGATTGACTGGCTGGGACGGAGAAGATGATATGGAAACCTGCATTCAAGGATTGATGAAAACCATTGACTCTTTCTCTCATGAGGATAATGGTGCTTTCTTGAAATGGGATGTTAGTAAGATCCCATTTGAAGTGTGTCTTTTGGCAGCAAAGGGGTGTCAAATAGAACAATCGCAGGGTTGACATCCAAGACATGTTATTGTAATGTCTTGGCGCTACCTCGCATTATATTGTGTTGTAATATTAGGTGGCTTTTTCTCTTTCCTAGACCACCAGCTCTAAGAGTATATCCACTATCTATGAAGAGTCTAGTCTGTCCCTTCTGTGCCGCGGCTTAGCGACATCACTCCTCCACGGGAAGCTATCTTGCCTATTTTCACATCCGAGGTAAACTCGTCTACAATCGAAGCTTAGGGAGCTCTTAATAGACTTATTAAAGGCAAGTGATAAGCGCTGCATGGGTCTTTTCTTCTTTATTCGCTCCTAAATATTTCGTAGACCTTTAGGATCTGGCCTAAAGGTCTGATACTATGACAAGGGCTTTATATAAAGGGCTTGGAATAATGCTCGATTCAGCTGAATAATTCGCTTTAATATTAAAGATCCTTGGTTCTCTCAAGGCCTCTGGGGACAGATGCCCCTTAATTATACAAAGCAGCGGTGAGCAAGCGAGCCTGGAAGCCTAAGGCCTCCACTAGGTCGCGAGCCCTTGTGTAACTATCGCCAGGTTCAAGGGTCGGCCCGTGACTTCAACACATCCTGACCTCCGCCTAACAGATACCGGTTTACTTGAGGCTCCATGTTTGTTACACATTCCACCGCGCTTTCAATCCGTTGATAGTCAAGCTCTGGTATCCTGTAGCTCTCCCTGCTAATCTTCATTAGTAGCTCTTGTACTCAGAATTACAAGAAGCCTGCCCTGTCGAGATCCGTTGTAAATTCATTTGCGTTGCAAAAATCTAGCTCTTCGTCATATGAAGCACAATCGTCTGTGTCCCGATAATAATCCACGGCTTTCCTGCTTATCCGAGCTTCAACAAGGTACCTGATAGTTTCGAAGCCTGCATGCTCAAGTTCAGTGATGAGAAGACTCCATTGCATGTCTTCGAATATCCCATGTGTAGGCCTTTTTATTGCGCGACTGTTGTTATCAGGACATTGCTATATTCTGGTACTTTTGACGCATGTCAATCCATCCCTTTCTATGTTTCCAGTCTATGTGAGTTTCACAGATGATATCCAAGGCTAAAGAGGTTTGCCTTAAGCTCTTCTCATAGCCAGAAATGTCACCATCGCATCCAAGGAAACGATGTGGTTCGGGAAGCAAGCCTGAATCAATTTTAAATGCTTCCGTGCGGGAATTTTAGGACATTTTGTTTTGACCCCTCAAATGGCCTTGTCACGGTCCAATATTATTCAGCAAGACATACGTGACCCAAGGCTCTGACAACAATGTCCTCTACACCACGAAAGTTGAGGCCGGAAAGGCCTCGCAAAATGCTTTCACGTTTTATAAGTCTTTGTTGCATTCTTAGCTTATTATCCCAATGTAGAGGGTAAAAGAAGAGTGAGTAGTGGCTTGTTAGCTGGCCCTGTTCCGATCAAAGGTATAATGCTTACAAGAGCTTCTTACAGTGTTGTCAATTGTGCTAAGAGCAAGATATTAGCAAGGCGCTCCACATACTATTTTTGAAAGAACCCCTGGTATACAGGGATTTGCACGTGGGATGTGTCTTTAACATACATTAAAGTTCCGTGTAAGCCAACCCTAACCCTAACTCACGAGGTTTCATCAAGCCTAACGACCCTGCAATCAATCTCTCAGTTTTGAAAAAAAAACGAGGCCTCCAAGGCATGCGGTTAGGGATCTGGCTTATATTCAGGTTTTTTTGTAATCAGACGTTGAAGAATTATAATCCATGAAGTTATTTTGGTCCGTGGCCTATTTTCCCATACATCTCAGCATGAAAAGGCTAATAAAGGCAACTCAGGGGTGTGCTATTTGTGCCACCTTCTTGAACTGGCACTTGACCGACCAAACTATTGCATCCGGCTCGTCAGTCCAGGAAGAAAAAGCCGCCTTAGGATAGATGGGCGCCTGGGTGAGTATGTATCAGTCGCCACATAGAAGAGCAACATTAGTAATCCGCATCTATATTTGCTTCAAATATACGCAGGATGGGACCCCGCACCTTGCGAGTTTAATCAAGAACACAACCTCTTCTCATCTACTTTTTTTTAGCTCGCAAAAGTGCGAGAACCACAGTCCAAGATAGCCAGGGAGTCTTATTTCGGATTCATATTAAAATTTGGTACCCTGGTACTTTCGACAATCACACACGACATCATCATCATGGGCGACATTGCCAATCCGCAACCTGCAATCCCCATCATCGATTTTGGCCCTCTTCTTCAAGATGACTGCAAATACGAAAAGTTCACCGCGATCGGGAAAGAAATCTACGAAGCGTTTAGGGATTTTGGCTTCGCATACATAAGAAACCACTCAGTGCCACAGAATATGGTAGACGAAGCATTTCAATGGGTATCCAAATTGTTTCCTTAAACGCAGCTTAGGCATTAAATCTAACAAGAAGCCAGAGCCAACGCTTCTTCGCCTTGCCACAAAGCGAAAAGGACAAGGTTCCTCATCCGCCAGAAGGATGGTACCACCGAGGCTATTCAGGTATCGGTCGCGAAAAAGTCTCCCAGATGGTCTTTGACGAGGAGGGCATCGCCATCCAACGTAAAAAGCCAGACTTTAAGGAATCATACGAAATGGGTGCAGAGGGAAAGCTGCGAAACATTTGGCCTGCCGACGATGTGATCCCCGGGTTCCGCGAGTTTTTCACCCAGTTCTACGACATATGCTACGACATGGAAGTGAAGCTGCTTCGCGCTATCGCTATCGGCATGGGACTGGAGGAAGAGTTCTTTACCAATTACCACAAAACAAAACAAAACCAGATCCGCCTGTTGCACTACCCGCCTGCCGAAGAGGAGCTCCTCGCGACGGGCAAACTAGAAAGTATCAGTGCCCATACCGATTTCGGTACGCTAACCATGCTCTTCCAGGATCAAGTCGGCGGACTTGAAGTCGAAGATATCCATGAAAAAGGCAAATTCAACCCAGCGCCTCATATACCTGGAACAATGGTGGTCAATATCGGCGATTTGCTTATGCGCTGGAGCAACGACGTGTTGCGGTCTACGCTTCATCACGTTCGCACACCCCCTGCCGATAAGCCGTTGAAAGAGGGCGAACCGCGGATGACTCGTGAGAGGTACTCGATTCCGTACTTTGTAGGCCCGGACAGCGACTCTACAATTGACTGTATACCAGGCTGCTGGGGGCCGGGACGACCAAAGAAGTATGAGCCTATTAATAGCAGCGAGTACACGGACATGCGGCTGAATGCCACCTACTGAGCAGAATCAAGGGTACGAGCAAGGGTCAAGTGTGACGTGGATAAAGTAATCATTTACAAAGAGAGGACTTGTGCACGCCCTTCCCAAGATGGTGCTGGCCAACGTAGACCGGCCGTCCTGTTTAACCGTAGGTGCATGCCGTACGTTCGCGTCTCCAAACTCCATCGGTCGCCTCACATTCTTATATTACACCCATGAATCCTCCTCTACTCGACCGTCAAATAAATGTGCAGGTTTTGGTTTGACGATCGCGTCATACAATCTCAAACAACGCCAATAACCCAACTTTGCTCGAGCGGCATACCCCTCTAACGCTATCCATGGTACGGACCATTATGGATGATTCGATACCTGGGATTGTATCACACCAAGAAGGTACAAAGCATTAGGTCATCCAAGATATGGCGGTCTATCGAGTAGGTGTGGCGAATATCCCATCAGCACATCAGGTCGGTGGTAGTTACAACCACCACACTTTCCCTGTCCAATGAGCTGCAGGTGGCTCGAGTCTTGTCTCATGGCTCTGTGACGGGCTCTCAAATTTTGTAAAAGGATCCCACGGCTTTCATGGTAGCTTTAAGTGGAGTGTTATTTTAAATGTTTCCCCAATTACTATTACCACGGCACCGTAAAACTACCATTAATTTACTATTCCATCCTTTATCGTTTACCTGGGACTGTAATTAAAATGCCACTCGGGTATTAGGAAAGCTTGAATTCTTAACGCGAATGAGAACATCCATAGGATTTAGAAGAAAAAGGAAGTATACCGCAGAATATACGTCTTGCTGCCCTCATATACAGCCCGTCAATTGAATGTACATCTGATATGCCCTGTTGACCATCCCAAAAGATTATACTTGACTCAGAACATGCGTCAGTTCGCTTCGTATCTGCATTCCGCAGTCGAATCACAAATAATAGCGCACACATTCAGAGCATGCATCGTTTTGCTTCGTATCTGCACCGAGACCTAAACAGCAATCGAATCAACCTCGACAGCCACGGCATTCTGAGGTTCTCGTGAGTGAAGTGCATACCGCTACATGGAAACTGCCTATAAGAAGATGACCAGAGGCGCCCATTTTCTCCGAATATCAACCCCTTTTAAAGCAAACCGTGAAGCTCGGACCCTCAAAAAGCAAACTACACCCACAAGCATGGCGGCAGCGGTCCTGCGACCATATGATGTAGACTTGTTCAACGGCATTCCCAGTCTGGGCGAGGCCAATGAACAGTTCCTTGCACACAACGGCCCAGAGGTCATCATCTTGTCGCTTTGGAAACTCTTTTCCAAGTACAAGCTGACCGACCAATATGGACCTGTGCTTGTACATCGGCACTGGCCCGCCAGCTTGAATGAAGCGGTTGTTGACGTGAATGGCACTTCAACCGCATGGACCTTGGAAGCGGGCGAGCAGACGGGCATGCTCCAATTTGAGAAGTATGAACGGCCAATTAAACCCAGCTCGTGGATGATGGCGAAAGGGCAGCTCATGCCATATGAGTTCTACTTTGCTTCCCAGAAGGAGCACGATGAACCTGCTCCTCTTGACTCTGCCTTTGTTCAAGAGTTTGCCTCGATTCTTGAAGCGAATTCGCTCCTTGATTTTGTCGGAATTCGTCTGCTTCGGCATACAGGGCAGAAAGTCCTTGAAGTGACCGAGGGAAACGCCAATGTCACGTTTCCCGTCACAGATGACGACCAGAACTTGCTCGAGAAGAATGCGATTCAAGCAGGGTGGAAGTTTCCCTCCGCCGAACCCCCCGATTTCAGCAGCGATACAAGCGGGAACATGGGAGATCGAAGCCCTTGGAGCCAGGCCTGCAAACAGCTCTGCAAACAGTCCTGCTCTATTATATGCAGGAAACCTAGCCAGGGGGGGTCGCATATGAGGGTGCACTTAGGGGGCCACTCAAAGACGCATGGAAAGACGAATACGGAACGGACTCTTCCGTCACTGCGTGAGGATGGCCTCGCGTGGCCCAGAGAAGAGTAAAAATATTGCAAAAGTCCTAACGTAAGGTGGAGAAATTGCCTGCCTGGTGGTAATTCTGTTGCTTTACATTATTGATTCTTAGCTATTCACTTGTATGCATCAGGACTGATGGGAAGTGCTTGTCAAGATCAAGTCGCTCATTCACGGCAAAAGCGATAGTTATACTGCTGCTTATTCTACGTACGATTCCACTCTTTGTGTGGGAAATCAAGAGTCTTTGACTTTGTCCAAGCCGTCCCCAAAAAAATTGTGCTCTGCGACACTATTCGTAGACATGTGGGCACTTGGGCTTCTAGCATGTCGATTAGAAAGCGAAGGGAAAGCCCCCGACAGACCATGAAAAGCAAGGCAGGAACTATTCTCAAGTGACTAGAATAAGGCATCTCAGCAGGCTTCACGTAAGCGCCAACAACCCTTCTACCAGACTTGGTCAAACGGAACTACCCTGACACCTCGATAAACCAGCATGGACCAAGGGACGTCTCCGTCTCCCCTTAAGGCCATTTTACCTCCCTCGCTTCGTTTCAGACTAATATAAACACGTGCAAGGCTTGCACAGACACGAATTACCGCAAGACCGGCAACATGGCGTACGACCTGAGCTCCCATCACTTGTTCCACCCCCATCGCCACTCTGGCCCCCGCTATCGCCTGTCGACGCACTCTCGATGGCTTGGAATGTTGAAGGCCAGTCGAAATTAGTGATATCTTGAATGACTTTCAGAATATCACGGACTCCATCTCTCTGAGAAGCCACAATCAGACTACGCTGCGCATATATAAGTTTGTTTGGGGGGGTGTTCCAGACAGACCTGTATAGCACGCCAATTATAGAATGAGCCCACGGAAGCTATCCAACTTGAAGGGCTTAGATGAGGTTCGAAAGTCAGCTTTTGCACATCTGAATGGGTCTGACCACCTACTTTGAACCGAGCAGGGTTTCTCCCCCCTGTGCCTCCCACGTGAGCGCCTCCTGGCCTTGTTCGCTGCGTTGACTAGATTGGGAACTCGACCCTTTCGAGTCTGAAACGGATACCGACGCGGATCCGAAAGGGCATGCAAAGTTGGCACCGGCGGCAAGTTTCATAGAATCCTTTTTGGCATCCATGTCGTTTGCAACTAGCGTGCTCGAGTCCCTTGTACTCTGTAGGCGTCCACCTAGTTGAACGCTTGTTGTGAAGAGATGGCCTACAGATTGTAAGATTTTAACGGCAAATTTGAGTTCAAAAACATTGAATGCTTAACAAATTTCCTCCGGAATGTAGCCACGTCTTCTGCTTTCCTGTTGCTCTGTATCGCCTGGAGGAGCGCGTTGCATTCGTCAGAAATGTCAAGGTCGTCCGCGTCGAAATACACAGTCACGCGGGGAAACTTGCGTGGCAATAGTCAGCGCATGTCACAAGGCTTCATACCATAGTGGGTGGCTCACATTATATGAAGCGTGAAGGGAGTCCATTGCCTTGCCTTGCACCGAGCTTGACGAATTTCCGGACGACGATGAGCCTGAGCCGGACGCGCCGCCTGTGATGCCGTCTATTCCACCGGAGCTACACCCGTGAGAAATCGCCCACCATCTCTGGCGCACGGGTGAGGACTTACGCGGCTGCCTGCACACTTAGAGAGGAAAATGCGTTCATTGCCATCGACATCTGGAGCTCCGACTTGATCTCGGTGATGGAAACTGATGACTCATCGTCGACTTGAAAAGATGGGATACAGTAAAGCGTTTGCTGTGTATCCAGCGTATTTAGTAAAGTGTGCTGTGAGACTGGGCTAGAAATAGCAGAGTTGTACTGCTTACAGCACTAGTAGAGGCTCCAGAACTGTCTGAATCTGTGTCATTGCTGGTTCCAGAAGGACTCCCATACGGATCAGGGTAAGACCTCTTTAGCTTGAATGCTGTACGATAAAGCCGGCGTTAGATTTACCAAGAGAATGGCAAATGGTAGATACTTACCAGGATCTCGGGCTCTCCGCAGGACATGCGAAATTCCATCATATGTAAAGCCGTTTAGAAGCGAGTTTGTGACAAGGACGATATGCCACTGGTACTCCGTCATGGTAGCGACATGGCTGTCGATGTTAGCAGGTTTGCATTTTGACCCATTTCCAGAATGTGCTCCTACGTTGAGATTATGTCAGAGCCTGCCACCATGCCTGACGTATCGATATTTACGGACTGAGTCACGGCTGTTCCGTCTCCAGCGGCTCCGGCACCTTGGTCATTATTGTCAGAGTCATTTGCTTGTGCCGGGGACACGCTCTGCCCGGAGGAAACTGAGTTCGGGTCCGGGGGCCGATATTTTGAGATGTAGCTGATTTTGATGATGGCGGGGACTTGGCCATCACTTGCCTGGATGGAGGTGACATTCTAAGCAGCCTTGATTGTCAGTGTCGACTCAAATTCCAAGTTGAGGCGTCAAATCCGCATACCTCACTTGTCAGGGAGATGTAGTATCCAAGGCTGACGGTATCCGGGACGGTGTTATGGACGTCGATGCAAAACAAAAGTCTCTTTGACCTTGTAGCGCATTAACACATTTTCAGCCAGACTTGGTATAGGTCAATATCAGGAGTTTTCTTACAATTTTGCATGGGCCCTAATTGATGCTAATGGTACATCGTATATCGGGCTATTGGCTGCCTGTGGCGCAACGTCGGTGGAAGACAGAGACGTTGTCTGCACACTTGGACTTCCGTTGAAGAGTATGTGAAATGGAGTGCTGTTGATGATGTCCTTCAATGTCTTGTTGTCTAACAGAGCCGTCAGCCGATTCCTACGGGCATCACCTTGTCAAAACACAAACCTGAAGTCGACATGATTGCCTCGGTTGGGGCGAAAACTGTGTCGCCCAAGCACAAAACGAAGAGACCAGAGTGCTATAGTAGCGTTTTTACAACCTCATATGCGGAGCATGCTCAATATCCAAGGCAGGAAAACTGGCTCTTAAAAGAGCTGGGCTCAAGCAGGGTTCTAGTCTGGTTCTAATGGTGATACACGTCGGGGCGTCCGACAGCAACCCAAGTGCGCCGCTTCTGTCGTGATGCATTCTAGCCCGACAGAATGAGACACAGTTGTCGGATCAGTCATGTTCTGGTGAGTTTGACATGATGGTCAACCACAAATTGGCAGCATGCCCTCTGTGGCTTGCAGGACTTCACACGTTACCTGCCTCCAACGCGGGGGTTTAACCAATTAGGGATCGTCATGTTATCAGAAGACTGCTACGAGGCACTGCACAAGTCCTTGACGTTACCTAACGTTAATAGATACGAAGTCACTACTCTTTGGCCATCGGTCAGAGACATGGGGAGTAGAGGGGGTTGAATGGCGGGCAGCAGTCGGGCATCTCTCGTCGAGGGCTTGCCGCACTCTCTCGATATCAGTCCAACCATATCCTGGCGCTCATCCTCGACACCTGCGTTACGGCGGCCAAAGACGCAGACTTGGGCCATGAATTGAATAAAGGGAACATGGAAAGAAGGAGCACTGACGATTGTCTAGCTCCAGGGAGTCGAGCGCGCCGGGCCGAGACCCATGGCAAGCTCGCCTTCCGAATGGATTGTCGCCACGTCTTGGCCGGATAACAAGGCAAGTTTTCCCCGAACCAATCACTGTTCAGTCTGGCTCTTTATGTGCGATGCGCGTACTTGGTGTTGGTGATGTTGATGACTAGGGAAAATGGTCCGCTCCGAATCGTCGCCATAGAGCCTTGATAAGTGTGTGAACAATCGCCAAGCGTCTAATATTTTCCATCTTTATTATTGTTCCCCTCTATCTTTTTTTAATCCAAATCTACTGCTCTGATTTAAGCACAAGGTTTGCGGGACACGGCTTGAATTCTCAGTGCGGTGGGGCCGGTGCGCCGGTCGCAGAACTTTGTTGCGCCGTTTGATGTGCCGAGATGTGGCGGGGCATGTTTTCGACCAGTAAGAGAACGACCGAGATCCGAGAGGCTGTCAATAAGTGGACGCCTAGGGGGTGAAACGTTCATGACTACGACCATGATAGAGTGTAAAAACGGGTACCCGTGGGCACCCGTGGGTATCTAAGTTTTTCTTAGGTTATTCGTGGGCTACCTATTTTATTATATAAGTAATTTAAGTATATTATAAGTAACCTAATATAAAGATAAGTATCTTATAAATACTTATAAACGTATAATAATATAA